TATGAAAGTATACCAGGAGAGGTTTCCTCCTGCTCCTCTTCAGGTTCCAAAGATTAGGTTGGAGCATCAAATCATTAGCCTCACAGAAGCAAAATCACCAAGGTTTCATTTATTCAGCCAATCAAAGTATTTACAGGCATACCTCATTTTATTTTCCCTTTATTGCGCTTCACAGATATTGTGTTTTTTACAAATTTAAAGTTTGTGGAAACCTTACATCGAGCAAGTCTATTGGCACCATTTTTCCAACATCATGCGCTCACATCACGTCTCCCTGTCAAATTTTGGTAATTCACACAATATTTCCAATTTGTATTTATTATTACATCTGTTATGGTGATCTGTGATCAATGATCTTTGATCAATGATCTTTGATGTTACTATTGTAATTGTTTTGGGAGCCACAAACCAAGCCCATATAAAACTTTGACTGAACTTGATACATAAATGTTATATGTGTTCTGACTGCTCAACCTACCATTCCTCGGTGTCTGTCTGTCTCTGTCTCTCTCTCACTGTCTCTCGCTCTATCTCTGTCTCTGTCTCCCTCTCCTACTGCCTCCCTATTACCTGAGACACAACAATATTGAAGAATATTGCATAAATTTAGCTGGTAAAACAGCAGCAGAGTTTGAGAGGATTGAATTCAATTTTGAAATAAGTTCTACTGTACGTAAAATGCTATCAAACAGCATAGCTTGCTACAGAAAGGAAAAGTCATTTGATATGGCAAACTTCATTGTTGTCTTATTTTAAGAAATTGTCACATACTAGCTGTGTGACCCTGGGCAAGTCACTTAACCCTGATTGTCTCAGGGAAAAAAAAATTGCCACAACCACCCCACCCTTCAGCAACCACCATCCTGATCAGTCAGCAGCCATCAGCATTGAGGCAAGACCTTCTACCAGCAAAAAAAAATGAGGACTCCCCGAAAGCTCAGAGGATGGTTAGCATTTTTTAGCAATAACGTATTTTTAATTAAGTTCTGTACTTTTTTTTAGACATAATACTATTGCACACTTAATAGAGTAGAGCATAATGTAAGCATAACTTTTATATGTACTGGGAAACCAAAAAATTCATGTGACTTGCTTTACTGCTGTGGTCTGGAAGCAAACCCACACTATCTCCAAGGTTTGCCTGTATTAAGCTTACTATCTGGCCAAGCACTATGCTAATTGCAGAGGATACAAAGAAAGGTTAAAAAAACTGTCCCTGCTCTCAGGGATCTCCACAGCCTAATGAGAGACAAAATGCAAAACACTGTATTCAAACAAGACATAGATTAGATAAACTGGGGATAACCCACCCCGGGAAGGTGCTTTACTAAATTGCAGGGGTGGGAGAACAGTCACTTGTAGGTTATTGCACTCACTCCCTTGTCCCCAGAAAACCATTTTGAACTTCTAATATCTTTTAACTTGTACCCCAAAGTGTGAGGGCAGCTTGCTTAACTAGTTCAAATTGAACTCATTATCAATTGGGGGCACAATTGGAGGCCAACAGAGAGCATGATACCTGAGCCTTGGGCTCCAGACTAAGGAGTAAGTCAAATCCAGATGCCTAGAGTTCCTTCCATGGAATTAGTCAGTTGGGACAGGATGGCAGGACAGGGTCATATGTTTTTCTCCATAACCCCAACCGCTGCCCTTCACAATCATGACACAAATTTTTGGTCTAATAGATAAAGTACTTTTATGAAGCAATGTGGTTTGGTAGAATGCTGCACTTTTGGTCAAGGAGACCCAAGTTCAAATTACAGCTCCATTAATTACTAACTCTATAATGATGAGCAAATCACTTAAACTCTCCAATCTTGTTGGTTCCTCTATAACTGGGTTTGCAGCTGGCAAGGTAAGAATAGTTTATATATATATATATATATATATATATATATATATATATATATATATATATTGGGGTGAGACAATCAGGGTTAAGTGACTTGCTCAAGGTCACACAGCTAGTAAGTGTCAAGTGTCTGAGGTCACATTTGAACTCAGATCTTCCTGACTCCAAGGCCAGAACTTTATCTACTGCACCACCTACCTGCCCCTACTTTTTATATTTTTAAATGAAGTTTTATCTATTTTGGAATGTAAAAACTATTCTTAGCTTGCATGCCTTACAAAAACTGGTAGGGCTGGATTTGACACTCAGTTTGCCTACCACTTATCTATAAAATGGGCAAAACATTGACACTACCTTCCTGTCTGAGTTGTGGCCATTGTGCAAGTACGGAGTCAGGAAGATCTGAGGTCAAGTTCTGACAAGTCACTTCACCTCTAGGTGTTTGCAGACTGTAAGTTGCAAAACAGTTGCCAGATCTGCACTGGTAAAGGGAATTCCTATACCAGGGATGGGGAACCTGCCATCTTGAGGTCCATTAGATTGTAAGCTCCTAGAAGGCAGGGACTGTCTTTTGCCTTTTTTTTGTATCCCCAGTGCTTAGCACAGTGCCTGGCACACAAGTCGGTGCTTAATACATGTTTATTGAATAGATGAATGAATGAATGAATGTCACAGATTCAGGGCCTTTCATCATCCTAGTTGCCCTCCCCTGGACATAACAAGAACTGAGTACCTCTGTCTTCTCTCTGTTGCCAGTTATCATTATCCCATTCTCCCCAAACAAAAATTCTCTGTTGTTTCTCAATGTAACTGAAAAAAAAATGTCCTTGTGGTTGAAATTTAGCTTTCCTGATCATCCTCAGCTCATTCTGAGCTTTAGCATTCCTAACAATTTTTTCCTTCCAAACTTCACAGAACAAATCCCCTTAATAGAAGAATTTTCTCTGTAAAACTTGGACTGTCAAAAGGCCACACCCAAGGACCTAGAAAGCCATATGTGGCCTCCAGACCACAGCTTCCCCATCCCTGTCCTATACCATGGGTTTAGACATTAAAAAATAAATAAAAATTAAAAAAAAAAGCCACCACCCTCAAGAGTGTGTGGAAAGCTCTTAAGAAACCTGAAAACAGTATGAAAATGTCAGTTATAATTTTTTCTGTGTTCAAGATGTACAGTTATCCCTTCCACATCTCAACTTTCCCTGTGGCGGTTTTGATATATTTCTGGTTGGCATAAAAAATTAATTGGGAATTTTGGGGGAGTTTTGGGGAAGCCACAGAAGACACGCAAACACCAGCAAATGACACAGAAAAAGTTTAGAAGCTCAGAAATGTGTAAAATATATATAAGTATTGCATAAAATCAACATATTTTATCTTTTAATAACATAATAATTCAGACTTCTATATTACAAAGGGAACACCAAAAAATTTTACATGGATTTTCCAGATCTTGGGGTACCATCCCCTAACCCCTGGTATGTGGAAGGGATAACTGCATTACTATCAGAGAGGCCTTGTTTATAAATCTGTACTAAGAATGGAAGTTGGGGATTAAAATACTAAATAGGGTATAGCTTTAATGAGGCATTCATTTTTCTTTCTTTGTATGTAACCCATACAGTCACACTCTTTAGGGATTCTATGCCCATTCCTGAATTAGGTTCTGTTTATGTCTTCTGCATTTACTTTAGATGAGTTAGCCAGATATGTTAAGATGGACACTAACTCGCCAAGATGCTCTGCAGTTTAGTCCAATGATCCAGATTTTTTTCACTTCAATAGTCTTTTCACAGCCAAAAAAAAAAAATCACCCTTTTTACCACCTCATTCAAAAAAAAAAGAAGTCATGAGTTCCATATGCAGCTGAGAAGGAGAATGCCATCATTACATTTTCTCCTTGTTTGTCCTGTTTCAGAAGTCTGGTTCTACTTGAGTTATGCCTGAGTTACTCCTTTCTACACAGTTGATAAAATACATTTTTCTCAAACACTACTGACATAATTTCACTTCACTGGCCATGGGCTTCTAATTGAATGTTGTGTATAGAATCAAAACTTCTCTGCCTGACTTTCAGCACAATCACCAATCCTTTAACATCTCATCTATCCTTACACCCCATTTTATCTGCAGTATTTCTCACTAGAAAATCTGGTACCCAAAATATAGACAATGCCAATGATTTTACACTATCTCTCTATAGGCTGGATGTATCTACTGGGAAACATCCCACCTTGGCCAGAATTTCTGGCTCTTTATCTGAAGGGCCTGGGAAGTCCCTGCCAAATGTCAGCCAAAAGGGAAATTAAATTTAATCCAATTCAAGTTACCATTACCAAGTTCTTATTATGTAGAAGGAAAAAACTGTTAGGAATGCTAAAGCTCAGAATGAGCTGAGGATGATCAGAAAAGCCAAATTCAACCAAAAGGAATTTTTTTCCAGTTACATTAAGAGACAACAGAGAATTTTTGCTGGGGAGAATGGAATAATGATAACTGGCAACAGAGAGAAGACAGAGGTACTCAGTCCTTGTTATGTCCAGGGGAGGGCAACTAGGATGATGAAAGGCCCTGAATCCATGACATTCATTCATTCATCCATTCAATAAACATGTATTAAGCACCTACTTATGTGCCAGGCACTGTGCTAAGCACTAGGTTTACAAAAAAAGGCAAAAGATAGTCCCTGCCCTCAAGGAGCTTACAATCTAATGGAAGAGACAACATGCAAACAAATATGTAGAAAGCAAGTTATATACAGGATAAACAGGAAATAATTAAGAAATAGAATGCACTGGAATTAAGAGGGGTTGAGGAAGGCTTCCTGTGGAAGGTGGGGTTTTAGTTGGGACTTAAAGGAAGCCAGGAAGGTCGGTAGTCAGAGCAGAGGAGGGGGAACATTCCAGGCATGAGGGACAGACAGAGAAAACGCATGAGCCAAGAGACATTCCAGGTTTGTTGGAAGGAATTGAGCATGTTTAGCCTGTAGAAAATAAGATTGAGAGAGGACATGGTAGCTGTCTTCAAGTATTAGAGGAGCTGTCTTGTGAAGGGGAGATTAGACTTATCCTGTTTGCACAGAGGTCAAAATACGGAGCAATGGGTAGAAATTGAAAAGAAGCCAATTTAGGCTCAACATCAGGAGAAAACTTCCTAAAAATTAGAGCTGCCCAAAAGTGGAATGGGGAGCCTCAAGAGGTGGTAGACTCCCCGCTGTGGAAGGTCTTCAATAAGAGGGTGGGTGAGCACTTGCTGGGGATTCCTTTCATGAGTGGGTTGGATCAGTTAATTGCTTAGATCCCTTCCAATTCTCCAAATTCTATGATTCCAAACAGAGCTCAGCTTGTGAAGGGAGGGAAAGGGAAGGTGGACACTGTAGGGTTGTGGTTTTCTGAGAGGTCATGGATCAACAGAGCAGGCAGGACTCACTCATCTTTCTTCCTTTCTTTTTTTGAGGCAATGGGACGTAAGTGACTTGCCTAGGGTCACACAGCTAGTAAGTGTTTGGTGCCACATTTGAACTCAGGTCCTCCTGACTCCAAGGCAGGTACTCTATCCACTTCACCACCTAGCTGCCCCTGACTTAACTTTCTTCTGGTCACTTTGCTTAACCCTGACTAACCATCCAAACTTGCTTGTCATCTTTCACATAAAACTTTCCTCTTCTTACTTCCCCGCCTTCGTTGCATGTGAGGTTTTCCTAAAGTAAGCAGGTTTTGAGATAACTAGCAAGGTAAGGATAGAGACAGGCATTGGTCAAAGTTGGTAAATAATAATAATTTACTATATAGCACTTTTAAGTTTTACAAAGTACTTTCCTTACAACAAACTTATGCAGCAGTAATCAATTAACCAATAAGCATTTATTATAAATACTGAGCACTGTGATGGGAAAGAAAGATATAAATAAAATTTCTTGCCCTCAAGAAGCTTATATTCTGTGGGGGAGACATTTATACATATAACAATAAAGAAAAAAGTATATTGGGTGAGAGGGTGTCCTCATTTCACAGATAAGGAAACTAAGGCGGAAAGAAATTAAATGACTTGAACAAACAGTTATTAAGGAACAAATACGGGTTTCAAACTGTGTTCCTAAATCCAGGACTAGTTCCATTCTACTATGAAGAAAAGGTTATTTTAAGCACCTTACTTCTCCCTTTTTTTCTCTCTACTCAGCTTCTGGTTACTTCTTGTAGGATGTTACATTTTATTCTGAAGTTTCACTGAAATTTCAAGAGGATTCTTGAAAATTACATCCAAAAATCTTTGTGCTTTCGAAATTACATCTTTTGCATTTACCATTAAAATGTTTCCTTTCCCTATATCCCTCATCTATTGACCAGAAGTGTACACATCTTGGCAAAAGAATTTTTTATATTTTCTTCCTCCCATCTTTTGAAAACTCATGTTTTAAAGAAATTATTAGTGAGAATAATAATAGTAATATTTCATACAGCATGATTCTGTCAAAGAATTTAGAATACTCTTGGTTACTTCATTCAATTTAGAAATATTTTTGCAAAGCTGGCAGAAAACAAGCATAGTATGATTATTCCCATTATCCAGACGGGAAAACTGAGAAAGAAATTATGGGATTTACTTTCAGTCAGTTGGTGAAATTTGAAATTGAACCCATTAGATTTCATTAAACTACAACATTAAACTACCATCCCTCTCCTGAATTCCCTTCACGACTCTTCCTGCCCCCAAAACGATTTAAGTGTACGTGATCTTTAGTGCAAATGACCTTGTCAGACATTCTGGTGTACTATTACTACTCCTCTCCAGAAAGCAGCCCTTTTTGCTCAGGAGACAACAATGGAATTCACATAGCTTGACTTTGGGATTCATTGCATTAGGAAGGATATCGCTATCCCTTGGCCAAGCAAAGTCTTAAAGGCCCCTGTGTGGGTTTCATTTTTTCACATTAGAGTTGGATTTCAAAAGCCCATTGGAAGCAACCTTTGGGCAGACATTCTTACCGTTTTCTGTGATAAATCTTCTCTTGGCTTTCCACAGTTCACTCTATCCACCGAGAAATTCTTCTACTTCCCTACCTTTCTGAAGGACTTATTTGTTAAGTGGCAACTTCTCAAACTGGATATATCATTTATCCACAATCAGGATTCATTCTGCTTTGCTTCTGAATGAAGTGGGAGGAGTTGAACAAATACCTTTAGTAACACTTCCCCTTTCCTTTTCTTATTCTACTTTCCTGCTTTCCATAGATAATGGGAACTTACAAACTGATGTGTGAAGATGAAGGAAGAGGAAGACTACAGTAGATGAATTAAATGTGGCCTGAACTACACATCTCTGTCTCCTTAGCACAGGTAAAAAATATCTTCCAGGCATATGATGGACTATCATTATTGGCTAAAGCGAGGGATTTCAAACTTTTGAAGCCATAGAACTTTTTGATTAAAAGGAACAAAAAAATGGAAATGTTTGTGAAATGGTAAATTTAAGGACGTGCATGAACATATATATGTATGTAACATGCATATATGTTACATGTCTATCTATGCAACATATTTTATATAACATGTATATGTAGAACATATATCAGTGTTATACACAGCAAATTATGCACATGTAATAATGCATGTGTGCTATACATACACATGTGCTATATGCATATAGTTTGTGGATATACGTATGTGTGTATATGGTAAAAGACAAAGCGTGGCCTAATGGATAGACGACTAGTGTTGGAATCACAAAGGCCAATGGTCAAGCCCTGTAGCTAATACTCACTAGCTGTGTGACCATGGGGAAATCACTTCACTTTTCAGTGCCACAGACAACTCCCTTCTAAAACAGTAAGCTACCAAAAATTGTCAATCTGCATCCACAGGAGGGAGTTTCCACATTGGGAGTTAATGTGAAATCATGTAATCACGTACCAACACCACAACCTTCCTCCTCAGTTCTAAGGCAAATGCTACTTTAAAAAGAAATTTATACTGTTTTATACTCAGTTTTCTATGTTGAAAAAAAGAGCTGAAATATTCTTACTAAGAATGTCTCTTTATTCCTTCAAAAAGTTCATGTTTTAATGGAGGAGAATGTTGTCTGGTGGCTAGAATACCAAGTAAACTTGGAATCAGGATGACTTGGGTTAAAAATCCAGCTCTGAAACTTACTAATTGTATGACCTTGGGGATGTTGCTTACCTTAACTTAGTTCTCTCATCTGTAAGATGGGAAAAACTCACAGGTTTATTATGAGGTCCAAATGAGATAGTGTATGTAAAGGCTCTGCAGATTTTAGAGCACTGTACAACTGCCAGTTATTAATATTTCATTAGCATAGTCACTTCCTCCATTGACATAGAGCACAACTCCCTCCCCCACCCTTACCCCAACTACTGCCCTTAGTACATAGCCTAAAGTTGCTATGATCAAAAAAACATTCATCAGCTGGTGGCCAAAGTTCTGGTGATGAACCCACATTATTCAGCAAAATCAGCCTTCAGAAAACACATGGAGTGTATCACCAGGCCTCCACACAAGCTGGCTAGGTAAAACAGTGTATAGAGAGCTTGGCCTGGAATCAGAAAGAATTGAGTTCAAATGTGGCCTCAGATACTTACTAGCTGTGCAACCCTGGGCAAGTCTGCCTCAGTTTCCTCAAACCTAAAATGAGAATAAACAATAGCACCTACCTTGCAAAGTTGTTGAGAGGATTCAATGAGATAAATATTTGTGAAGTACACAATGTCTGACATGATAAATGCTTATTCCCTGCTCAAAATTTTTCCAGCTTTTTAACTCTTCCCAAAACTTTCCTCTGCCTTCAAGAACCTAGGATCACTTTGATGAGGCATCAGAAGAGAATTTCAGCAAAAGAATAAATGATAGGTAAGTAAGTAGCAGAGTTATAAAGCTGGGGATAAAGGTTTAGATTTTTTTTTTTAAATGTTGTTTCTTGTCTGGGCAAAATCATTTTTTGGCCATGGATCTCAATATTTGTACTTTGCTTTTTCTGGCAGGATTCTTGATGACACTTGGGAACAAAATCACCACCACCCCCAAGGTGAAGGAGAAAATATAGTTTGGAGGAAATAAACACCACCACCACCACCCCAAAATTGAAAGTAGAGAAAATATAATTCGAAGATATACAGATAAATTTCATCAGCTAGACTTCTGTGACTATGTAGATATATCCTAAGAAGATTTTATAAGTACATAGAGGTTAAGTAACTTGTCCAGAGTCACACTGCTAGTACACATTAGAGGTAGAATTTTAGTGACAACAACAAGGATTTATATAGTATTGTAAAGTTTTAAAAATGCTTTATGAATATCTCATTTTATCCTCACAACATTACAACATACCCTGGGAAGTAGGTGCTATTATTATCCCCATTTCACAGGTGAAGAAACTGAGGCAGACGGAGGTTAAGTGACTTGTCCAGGGTCACACAGCTAGGCAGTATCTGATGCTGGATTTGAACTCAAATCTTCCCAACTCCGAGCTCATTGCTCTGACCTCTGAGCCATTTAGCTGTCCATGTCTTTCAGACTCAAGCCTAACACCGAATCACATTTGTTCTTTATAATTTGAAATTTGGAAAATCAGGAATTAAGAGTCATAAATAACTTCACACAGACTTAAAGTGTGTGTGTGTGTCTGTGTGTGTAATTTCACAAATACTATACACCCAAAGTCAATTTCCCTTATGAAACTACATGGAACACTAGGAAGTTTCCACACAATCTCAGGGTTATGCAGCACGAAATTTGAAAACCCCTTTGTTATGTGGCTGAGGGTCCAACTCAGTGTGGGCCTGGCAGGTTTGCTTTTTCCCCACCAATGACTGAATTCTTTACCAGTTGTTGTTCAAACAAAAGTGTTTGTTATCAACAGGGCCAAGACATCACTTTGTGTCAGGTGAGAGCAAATCCATAAGTACTAGGGGAAAAAGCAACTGAAAATTTCTACCCTGAGTACAGTGGCTGGGTGGTGTCATCTTTGTATTAAAAAAAAGACAGTTTATGTCTCTGCCCTGAGTATAAATTATAAGTGCCTTGAAGGCACTCTCATAAATATTTTGTACAATAGGGCACAGAGTAATAAAAACAAGATGGAAATAAATGAGTAGATTGCAATCAAGTGTCAAAAACTTGATTTATTAGTAGAGAGGAGGGGGTTTAAGTGAAAAAGTTAAAGGCATTGAGAGGGCAGCTCAGTACTGTACTAATTAGATCATATGTTGCTTTGTTATATGCTTTAGTCTTTTTCACATTTAAATGGTATATTCTGACCCCCAAACTACACTACTGTCATGAGAATCAAACACTTTTTAAAAGATCATAGTCATATGACTGCAAAGGATATTGAAGAAATTATCTGGTCTTTCCCCAAAAAAGGTTAGTAAACTTAAACCAATTGTTTGGCTAATTAGGTGGTTCTGATAGAAGGTAATTAATAGAATACAATATAAGCAGACAAATAAGTGACTTTACTACAACTTTAATCCATACACATTTGAATATTTAGTCAATACTTCTGAAGGCAAAGCTTAGCAAATTTTAAAGTGTGTAAATATATCCTTGTTGGGGGGAAGGGGAAGTCTGTTTTAACTGAATAGGGGTGTGGTCTGCTCAAGGAAGAGGGAATAGATAAAAAAAAAAACTCAGTTTCATAAAAGACTGATATAGCAGAATGGATTTTTTTATAACCTGGCCATTATAGCCAATTCATGCTTGGAGGTCTTAGATTTTCCTTGTAGCTGAAAGCTACTCTATTAAGTATATTTTGGTGTGGTAGAAATTTTAACCAGCTTGGTGTGCTAGAAGAACCACAGGCGGTAGATTTGGGTATATGCACTCTCTGCATCGGTCTAATCCTCCGGGTAACAATATACCCACAACTACTGTAATCCTAGAGCAGTTACATGGATGGACTAAGTGGTGTGATGGGAGCAAATGATAGTATCACAAGGATTCGTTTGATTATAACAGTAATCCACACCAAGTCAAATAAAATAGCCCAACAGCTAAAAACGTAGCCTTTAATGAATTTGCTAATTCTAGCAGGCCTTCATAAATATTTCCTACCTGTGAGTATACCTTATCAAAACTAAGTGGCTATGCTTTAATTACGTGATATAATTATTTGATTTCCAGGAAGTTAAGACGCTGCTTTGTATTGAGACTTTAAAAAAAAAAAAGTTCTAGACATGCTGGGAAACACGAGCAAACCAAGAGAAAAGGTGAAATTGAATGCCTTGCTCAGTGTTTGGTGAACCAGGATTCCAGCTGCTCCGCTTGACCTGCAGTGTGGGCAGTTCGGCCTAGAAAAGGGGGTTTTAAATACTGGCTTACTGGATCATGTCACTTTCAGGCAGGAGAGAAGCCATGCCTTTATGGAAGACTCAAGCGTAATGCAACCCTGCGCAGTGGAGGGGGCGAGCAGTCGCCCGCCCTTCGCTGTCTGCAGCAGCAGGGCCCCCAGTTCTCAAGGAGGCGATCCCACACCCTTGCCTTCACATTGGAATGTTCCCTAAAAAGCCTGGGGACCTCCTATCTGAAAGGCTTTGAAAGGGAGTGAGTGTGGGGAAGGGGGGGGGAGGCCTGTGGGTGTCTCTCTTGCCTGAGGAGTTGGAGGTGCTTGCAGAAAAGCCAGGCCATTTTCGCTCCGGCGGCCACTCCGGCGTGGGGCTAGCTTGGGTTAGACACATGCATACACACACCATAGAGCTCTGCTTTCCCGTAGCAGCTGCTGCCTCTGCCTCTGCCTCTCCCGCCTCAGCCTCTCTGCCCGGCACACACACAGGTTCAGATTTGCGCGCTGTTTCAATCCTCGATGACGTGTCTCCGTTACGAGCCAATAGCAAGCGGGCTCTGGTCAGGACAATGGGAGGGAGCCCGCCAATGAGCGAACGCGGTGAGTTGGCGGTAGCCAATGGGAGCAGCGCTGCCTGGAGAGTAATGTTACAGAACGGAGAGAGTGAGGAGGCTGCGTCTGGCTCGCGCTCTCACAGCCATTGCAGTACATTGAGCTCCATAGAGACAGCGCCGGGGCAAGTAAGAGCCGGACGGGCACTGGGCTACTCTGTGCGGCGCTGAGGGTGAGTCTGGGGCAGCGCCGCGGCGGGGAGAGCGCCCCGAGCAGCTCGGAACCCCGCGCGGCAGCCGGATCCCCGCGGCCCGGAGCCGGCGGGTCAGGATTCACACAAAGGCAAATGAGGGGGGATCGTGGGGGGAACTGCGTACGGACAGGAGCCTTTTTCCTGGGCACTTGAACCCTGCCCGGCGACGGGAGCCCGCGGACCCATGGCCCCCTCGGGCTGCTGGGGACCCCGAACCCCACGAGTTTTTTTTTTAATCTCAGCGCGGAAGAAATTTTTTTTCAATTTAAAAAAAATTTAAATATCCGTATTTTTTGGTGTGGGGGGTTGTGGCCGGTGTGCGCGGAGCGCGGGGTAGGGACGGGAAGACCGCGCTTGAGGTGGCGAGGGCGCGGGGCTCGGGAGGCTCAGCCTAAGCTGCTTACAGTGCATTGCATTAGCCATTGCTGCAGATAGAGCCCCAGACGCCGCCGCCGCCGCCGAGCGAGCTCCCCAGCCTGGCGGGGCGGGGGCGGCCGGGGCTCGGCCGGGCTTGGGGGGGGGCAGCAAGGGCGGTTGCGGGGGGGGGGTGACGGCGATGCGGGGATCCCCCTCCCCGCGCCCCCTTCTCCCCGGGGCGCGGCGCGGCGCGGGGGGGAGAGGCGCCGCTGCGCTCGCTGTAATATGGCTGACTCCAGCTCGGCGCTGCTGGCTGGAGAGAAAACAAGGCGGGCGAGAGCCAGAGCTAGGAGGAGCTGGCTGGGCGCACCAGGTCCGAGGCAACTTTTTTTTCCCTCCCCCCCTTTTCACAGCCCCGTGTTTTCCGTGCGGGGGCGGCCCGGGGAGCGCGGGATTGGGGGGCGGCAGGCGGGCGGCGGCCCCGGCGGGGGGGGGTAGGCGCCCTTTCCCGGGGTGCGAAGCCCCCCCCCACCCCAGGCGCTAGCTGTGGGTCTGGAGGGGCCGCGCCCCCCCCCACGCTCCTCCCCCTCCCTCTCGTCCTTCCCCCCTCCCCCTGCCTGTAATGGCTGAGTGTGCGCCAGAGCGCACCGCGCACTCCTCCCCCTCCCCTCCTCTCCCCTCCCTCTCTCACTCTCGGTCTCCCACACTCAACACACACACGCACGCACACACAAAGGGAAGGAGCCATATTCTCGCTCTCTCTCTCGCCCTCTCGGCGGCGCAGGCGAGGAAGACGAGCAGCGGCCATTCCGTGCGCGCTGCGCTGCGCCGCCGGGTACACACGCACCCTCACACGCCACGCGGGGCCCCGCGGCCCGAGTCGTTCCATCCCAGCCCCCCACCCCCCCTCCTTTTCCCCGCCCCCGCTTAAAGCGCGGGCTTCGGGCGGAGCCAGACCCCATTTCGAGTGGGGACTTTTGCTCTCTGGCGCACGATGGACGCTTCATACAAAATGGGGGGGCGGGGAGGAGGGAGGAGAGTGGCCGCCCACCCCCCGGGGCCTGCTCGGGCCGCCGCGCGCACGCGGAGCGAGCCCGGAGCTGGGCCGGCGGCCGGGCTGAGTGGAGCGGCAGCGCGGGGGGCCTGGGCCGGGGTCCCGTCACCCTCCCCGGGGGGGGGGGGAGGCCACACGTGGCGCCGGGGCAGCCCTGCCTTCCCTGGCTTCTTTAAGAAATGAGATAATGTGTTAGAGCTCTTTGATGCCTCCGGTTACTCTGCCCTCGCCCCCCCTTGCCAGTACTTCCCAGCAAAGTTTAGAAGAGGTGTGGGGGCAAGTGCAAAGTGGCGGGAAACCTGTGTGCCCCTCGTGCCCTCCCCTCCTCCCCTCTAATTAGTTGTACAAAGATATTTATATAGTCACTAGTTTAGATGGGGGGAAGTTTAAAAAAAAAAAACCCTGCACTACTGGCTGGAATGGTTCGTCAGCCCCTAAACCTTGTTTACTCAGAAACTTCAAACCGGACGCGTTTAGTCAGAGCAGAAATCCGCCTCTTGGGCAGATGAAGCCGCCTGCCCCGCGGCGCCCCGGCTTCGTGCGTTGTGCACGCTGTGTGTGCACTCCTCCGTCCGGGAGCAAAGTTTAACGCAAATGGGAGGAGAAGTCAGTGTGGTTAAATAGGGATTGAGAAATCCTGGACGGAATCGAGGCAAAGGACTTCCCATGCACTGTCTTATATTTCTTTGCTGCAGTCCCAGTAAAACGGGTTGTTTCCGAACCATTAGATTTGTACTTTGTCCAAGATTGCCTTAATTTGTGTTTAAGATAAAAAATCCC